TACAACAAACACACACACATACACACTCACTCACATACTCACACACACACACAAATTAATACCTACCTACCTACCTGCAATCAATCAATTTATAAATACCCACATACACAATGCATACACGAATATATAAACCCACTTGTACACAAGCTTACGCAGTACACACGCATACACAAACATGTGTATGTGTAATTAGGAGTTTATTTTTTGTAGGTGGACATACACACGCAGACACACATACACACGCACACACACATACACACGCACGCACCCACACATTTATATATATATATATATATATATATATATATATATATATATATGGTATATATATATATATATATATATATATATATATATATATATATACCAGCATGGTTTGTAATTGGTTGGCAGTCTGACCAATGACAGGCAGGCCATTGATCTCTTTGATGTCGTCACCAACATGTAAGGTCCCTTCAAGTAGCCAAGAATTTTCAATTTGCTAATTAAGATTTATATTTGTCAAACTTTGAGTTAACCTGATTTATTTAAAAATTTAAATCTATTAGGACTATTTAAATTAAAAAAAAAATGTCGAGCCCCATCCCACCCTACCCTGTTTGTGGACCATGCCCCCGTGCAAAATGCGCGCCACGATGCAGTGACCTTCCTCGTCAATTTTCAAGGTTATGCCCTTTTGGGTGAGTTAATAAAGAAAATTGAAGGTTCTTATTGAAAGGAAGGTTGGTTGCGTTAGTTGGGAGTATGTGTGTTGGATGGAAGAACTAGTTTGAGTTTCGTTGTGTTGTATTCGCAGCAACTGTACAATTGGTTAGACGTTAAGAAGTTGCAGGTTGTTATGGCTACAACAACAACATCAGCAACAACAACAACATAAACACAAAAAACAGCATTGAAAACAACTCAAAACAACATCATCAACCTCAGCCTTACCATCATCAACAACAATGACAACAGCAGCAGCAGCAGCAGCAACAACAACATCATCATCAACAACAACAACAACATCATCGTCAACAACAACAACATCAACAACAACAACAACAACATCATCAACAACAGCAGCAACAACAACAACATCATCGTCAACAACAACAACATCAACAACAACAACAACAACAACATCATCAACAACAGCAACAACAACAACATCATCGTCAACAACAACAACAATAACAACAACAACATCATCAACAACAACAACAACATTAACCAACCAACGGCTCAGCAGTATTTCTTTGAAATTGTACCATCCTTATTTTCTGTTGCGAAGACTTTCCTCCACCCCCAGATCCACCACCACCACCTCCGCTACGATTGCTACCACCCCCGCCGCTACCACTACCACCCCCATCGCCACCCACCACACTGACGTCATTCAAATTCAAGAGACTCTTCTTCTTCGCGCCCTCAAAGCCACCACAGCCACCACCGCTGCTGTTGGCAGCCTCATCGTCAGCGTCCCCATCGTTGTTATTGTGGTGGTGGTGATGGGGATGGTGATGGTGAGAGAAGTTAAGTGGGAGGTTGTCACCATTGACGCTGGTCGTGCGTGGCATGGAAGAGACCACGCTTGAAGTCCCGTCACCCCCGTACCCCTCCCTCAGTGTGTTGTCGTATGCCGTCAAGAAGCCCTAAAACGGGGGGGTGGATGGGAGGATGGATGGCGAGGATGGATGTGGGTTGAAGATTGGTTGGTGGATTGATACAAAGAAAAGAAACAGTGATACATTAGATACAATCATACGTAGACATAATTATTTTAGATACGATAATGTATAGGTTCATACAATGATACATAGATACATACAATGATGCATAGATACATACAATGATGCATAGATACATACAATGATGCATAGATACAATAATACATAGATACAATAATACATAGATACATACAATTATACATAGACGTTATAATTTTGTTATTTCGTTTGTTGATACAGTAATACATAGATACATACAATTATACATAGATGTTATAATTCTGTTATTTCGTTTGTTATTTCAATTATGTTGTTAAGTTCAGTTTTTGTTAGATAGCGCTTTTGAGATTCGTTTAATTAGCGCTTCATAAATGTTTCAATAATAATAATAAAAAATAATAATAATAGATACAATAATACATTTATGCAAAAATACATAGATACATTCAATGATACTTAGACAGAACAATACATAGATACATCATTACCTAGATATAGTAATAAATAGATGCAATAATACATAGACACATGATGCATAGATATAATAAAACATAGATACGATAATACTAATACATAGACACATGATGCATAGATAAAATAAAACTTAGATACGATGATACTAACGATAAAATAAGGTTTGGATAGGATACTGTGTAGTTCCCTTTCCAGGTTCGATTTCATTCTCATCTTCATCATCTCCGTTATCTGGTCATCATCAAGATGGTGGTGGTTGTCGTGACGGCGATAAAGACGACGACGACGATGATGATGATGATTTTTATACAAATAATAAAAATAATAATAAAGAGAATGATGGTGATAATGGTTATGGTGTTACTCAGAATAACAACAGATGATGACGATGATGATAATAAGAATGATGATGATGATGATGACGATGATGACGACGATGATGATGATGTGGATGATGATGTGGATGATGATGTGGATGATGATGAAAATATTGAAAGCATCAGATGAAGAATGATGACAACGAACTCCGTTAATCATGCAAGTAACTTGCGTCCCCGCATTAATTAAGACGGATTTCCATGCATTACGTGCCATTACCGTATTGAATTGTGGAATAAAGTTCCAAAATACGCGTGCACACAAACGCACACACGCATCAACACACACGCGCATATATATTCATGTGTTTATTTACAATATAAATGATATATGCCTAAGTTCAATTTCAATCCAATTGAAAAAAGGATTTAATTTGGCTACGGACACTGACTTAGAGAGCCTATTCTTCTGGTACGTTTGCCGGCAACAAATTGAGAACAAGAAAGCGGACAGATTAAGATTTTTTATTGAGGAAACTTTCAACGCAATGAATACGCACATGTATACAAATAGACACATACATACATACAATACAAACACATACACACATGTATACAAATACACACATACATACATACAATACAAACACATCAAAACATGTATATACTCACTCATACACAATGTAAACATACGCATATATATATATTCAAGTACACACATACATACATACAATACAAACACATACACACATGTATACAAATACACACATACGATACAAACACACACACATACATACATACAATACACATACAATGATCTATTAACAATAGATATTTAAAAATATTTTTATTTGAAAGAATTGCCCTTAAATTGTTTCTTATTTTTATTATTGCTTTTCTAAAATAAGCATTGGCATTGTAAGTACTTGTGGCCTGGGCGGATCTATTGGACGCTAAATTTGGTAAATTTCTTGGCCACCCACGTAAAAGTTGAAAAAATTTTTCAACCAAAAATTTTACCCCCGTCAACTTTCTTTAGATCCGCTGCTGATTTCAGGTTTAATTTGGTCCTTATCTTACTCATGCGGTGGGTTGTTCGGTTATTTCAACCTACAACAAGGTAACTTCCAATTTGCAGCATCTTTGCATGCTTCCTAAAGACACTTTACACTCTATTCCATACAAAAAACAACAAAAATAGGGCTAAAATTAGCAATCAGGTTTCACAACCACACTCATACACGCACACACGCCGCACACTCAAATGAACTCGTACACACACGTACACACACACACACACACGTACAAACACACACACACACAAGTTCATTTAAATATACACGCACGCAATTATCATACCCACAAATGCATAGGAAGCAAAACAGCTAGACCATGGAATATCAACGAGAAATGAATAGAAATAGAGAGAGAGAGAGAGAGAGAATAAGAGAGAGAGAAAAATGAGAGAGAGGTGGAAACCATGTGACATTAACAATGGAAAAGTCGTTCTTTTTGAAAGGTTTTTTCCCTTTATAATTTAATAAGCGTTGTACAATGGACAATGTAATGAAAATTTTATACAATATGCTATGTAGTATGTACATACTAGCAAACATGAAAACAAACATAGAAACAGAAAGACAAACAAACAAACAAACATACATACATACATACAAACAAACATACATACAAACAAGCATACACAGAAACATGCCTCTTTCAGTAACTTGCTTGCATTTTCAGGTTCAGGCTTGCAACAATCCAGCGTCTGATTTCCAATTTTGTCGTAGAGCTAAAATTTTATCATTTGGATATTTTAACAATTATTGATTGATTAATTGACTGATTGGTTGACTGATTGATTGATTGATTGATTGATTCATTTGTTCATTCATTCATTCAATCATTCACCCATTCATTCGTTAACTCACTCGTTCGTTCATTCAATCGTCCATTTATTCATCTACCATTTATTTAATTAATTAGTTCAACTATTTCATTCATTCATTCATTCATTCCTTTATTCATCCGTTTATTAATTGAATAATTAATTGGTTAATTCATCGATCCAGTCGATCATTCATTCATGGCTTGCAACAATCCAGCGCTTGATTCTCAATCATTTCGTCATCCATTCATTAATTCACCTACTGATCCATCTACTCATTAATTCATTTCATCATTCATGCAATTTTTCATTCGGTTCATTCATTCATTCAATCATTCATTCATGCCTGCACTTATTCATTCTTTCATTCATTCATTCATTCATTCACCCGTCCCTCACCCTCAAAAGAGCTTGAAGTTTGTTACTCTCGAAAACTCGCTGTAGGAAGTTGACCTCTTCTTTCTTGGCGCCAGCTTGGTTTTCTACGTCAGTCAACACGCCCAACATCTGGCTGATGGCGACTTAATTGGTTGGGTAATTAATTTATTAATTAATTTATTTATTCATTTTTCATTTAATTAATCGATTCATTATCCGTTCATTCATATTATGGTTCACTCGTTCGTTTTTTCATTAGTTCGCATGATTCATACGTTCATTCATTTGTTACTCATTCATTCATTCATTCATTCATTCATTCATTCATTCATTCATTTTTTATTATTCATTCATACATTTTTAATCATTCATTCAATCATTAATTCATTTATCCATTCATTCGTTCATTTGTTTGTTCATTCATTCAATCAATCATTCATTAAATCAACAACAATAAAAATTCTAAATAACCATTAAATATTAATAATTTTATTGCAAAATGATTATTATAAATGGGGAAATTGAAACAGTTATAACGGAAATAAATTTCGAAACTTCTCAAATATTTAGAAAACAGTTTAGCGGAAAACAAAAAAAAAATTTATTATTTAAATTTAAAGGTGCGATTTTGAAAATTTTTTGTGGAAAATGAAATTTGAAAACAAAAATCTTGGCAGGTTGAAAAAATATTAAAAAAAAAATGAACTAAAATAGTTTTGCTAAAAACAATTTTTGTATAACCACCCACCCACCCACACACACACACACACTCACACACACACACACACACACACATACACACACACAAAGAAACACACATACAAACATACACACGCACACATACAAACACACGTACAAAAAAACACAAACAAGAGATGGTTGTTTACTTGTGGAGGTGACGTCATCCTCAATGTACCTGGAGCCCTTGCTGATGTTGCTGTCCTGGTACCACAGCCTGCTACTGTGGCAGCTCATGATTGACATGTGGTTGAAATTGGGGGAGGAGTTATATGACGTCATATCTATGTACACGAGATCCTGTTGACGTGTGCATGTTGACGGATGTAGGGATGGATGGATAGATGGATGGATAGATGGATGGATAGATGGATGATTGGACTGATAGATGGGTGAATCGACAGATGGATATATAGATGGATGGAAGGAAGGAAGGAGGGATGGATGGATGAAAGGATGGATGAATTGATGGAAAAATTAAAAATTAATTAATTTATCAACATTCATTAATAAAATGGCAATCAACGACATTAATCACAACGTTTTTAAAAAGAGCAAAACGAGTTAATGAACCTGTCAGTCAACTAAACAACAATTGGTACGATTGTGAATTCATCAAAGAAACAATCATTTGTGAAACTAGTTAATCAAACAATCAATCAATCAATCAATCAATCAATCAATCAATCAATCAATCAGTCAGTCATTCAATCATATATGTAGACAAAATTCAACCAATCAGTCAGACATACAAACGATCAGTCAATCAATCAATCCGTCAATCAACCAACTTTGAAATCCCTCCTCGAGTTGATGTTCTTCAGTCCATCAATGGCCCCCTGCAGATGAACTCGTGGTGCACACGATCGATCCTTAGGGCGTCATTGATGGCAGTATGGAAATAACCACACATACATACCACACCACACATACACACATCACACCACGCATATACACCACACCACACATACCACACCACACATTACACACCCCACCACACATACACACTTTGCATACACACTACACATACATACCACTCATACACACCCCACCACACATACACACCACACATACACACGACACGACACTAACAGACAACCACGGATGCATGAGTGCATCCTCAATGCTTATCCTATCCATGGCATCCAACTCCAACATCTGCGAGACCAGATGTTTGCCACTTTCGGACACATAAGACCAGGGGGTAGATTTCATCTGTGTGTATGTGTTTGCGTGTGCGTGTGTGCGTGCGTGTGTGTTTGACTGTCTACCTTTACTTGTATGAAAGATTAATTTCTCTTACTGCATAATTTCTGATGTCTTAGCAAGACACACAGCTTGTATCCCCTGTGTCAAACTGAGAGCTCCTGACACATCTGCATGTGACAGGAGGTGATGCCCCTGCATTTGAACACGGTCATTTTCAACGCAAGTTCACGCGCCTTTTATTATTCGCCGCTCTACACGCGTGTGCTTAAAAGTATGTGCCACTTTGACTGACGTTAATGTTCGTCGGTTTAGAGTGATGGTAGAGTTTTGCTCGGGTGTATGCTTGTTTTCATATAAAAAGAATCAATATCCTACAGACATCCAACATTTTTCAAATCGAAGCAGCCAATCACAGATATGCAACACTTACAGAAAAGGCACCATTCATGATAGAGCAGTATATTTGATCTTTGGTAACGAATATAGGAAAAGGAAGTTGTCCCGAAAGTAGGGCGTATAAAATGGCCCCCGCGCTCCAGACGTCGACGCCTCGGCCGTGCGGTTGTTTCCGTAAAATTTCGGGGGCGAAGAAGTAGGGCGAGCCATGAAGAGCTGGTGATGGGAGGGTGATTGGTGGTGAGGTGAAGTGGAATGGTGATTGGTGGTTATAATTAATTGTGATGATTGTTAACTGTCTGTGAAGTTAAATGTTTTAAATAATTATTAAAAGTGCTTGTAATAAACAAGGAATCTGTAATGCTAATGTTATCTAATGCTAATGCAACTTTACAAAATTTTAATTTAATTGGTATCAATTTTTAAGAAACTTCTTTTCTCCATATCGCCTCATCCAGGTTCTAAACAGTGAAACCTGCCATTTTTTATCAGATTGGAACATTTTCGAATTGTTAATGTTCAGACCTCCTGTAAGACTAACTGAACAAATATTTGGACTTTACGCCGGCAAACACTATTACACTGTTTGAAACAAAATCTAAGGATCCAGTCAAACTAAAATTGATGTCTAACTTGCATTTCTGCGCCAAATTCCCTAATAAAAATTGTTGTATTAAGTAAAATAAAAATATTGCAAAAACTAACTATTTTCTGAAGGGTAGGGCTAGAACGTTACAAACTAAATTTTACATAGAAATAACCAGGAAATATTTTTTGTGGGGACCTCAATTCTACGACCCATATCGGTCACATCTCTAGCATAGCATATTATTTTAAAATGATTTAATAAAGTTGTTAAAATGAAATATTTAACACTTACATATATCAGTGAATGCGTCGAAACTGCTGAGGTGTACTGCGTTGTTGAATCCCGACAATTTGATTGGTGCGGAGTTTGAACAGTCGGCCAATAGGATGCAAGAAGGGTGGAGACTTCTGTGGATGATGTTGTTGTCATGGCAATACAAGATGGCCTCCAACATCTGGCGCATGTAATGGCTGCAATTTTTGGTGAAGTTTCACAATTATTAGTGACGTCACAATTGTTTGACGTCATTGTCCCATCAACAGTATTTGAAGATCTGAAAAATAATTTTTTCTTACAGCAAACATAACAGCGGCCATTAGTTGAATCAAAAATACGGCAACGCCGTGGCATCACCGTGGCAATTGTGACGTCACAAAGCAACAATGACACGTCATGGAAGCAACAATGAGGCTGTCTAAGCAACAATGAGGCCGTCTCAGCAACCGAAACAACGTACAACACAACAGCTAGTTACGAACCAAGCAACGGCCTCACTGTAGACGAACCCGTCTAGAGCTCTGCTGACGATTTCATGAAAGAGGTCTACACCACTGA